ATTGCTGAACATAACTCATGTTAGTCATGCGTGGACAGAGCCAGTCCAGACCCACTGTGGAGGAAGTGTTCCCACAGCAACATAAGGTGGTGCAAGCAATAGCAGTACAGAAACTCAGAGGTGCCAGACAGTAGGATAACACATGTTTTTGCCCACATTGCTCAGTCCCCTGGGTGGCAAGGCTTTCCCAATGCATAACTGTTTGTCCATCAGTTGGCAGAAGCTGGCTACAGTACAAAGGAACAGCTGCTGATGCTGTGGTCTGCATTTAAAGTCACTGTGCTGGGGAGAGCTGGCCTGGAGAGCCAAGAGTGGGGGCTTTAGACTTACTCATTACAGAGCAAGAAACAATGGCTTAACATCTAGATCCATTCTGCACTATCAGGCATGCCACCATGGCTTAATTAAGCCACAGTGGGTTGTTTAAGTTGTTGATGCATGCCAGGCACGTTTAGCTATCTAGGTGTGAGTGGTCATGTTATCAGAACCTGGGTGGCATGGTTTATGTGAAAGGGAAATATCCCAGTAGAAGGCCTCAGATTATTTGAGTGTGCCTGGGCAGGTAGTTAAGCTAATATGGCCTGGCATGCGCCACTAATTAAAGCAAGTCACCCTGTGGCTTGTTTTGATTATGCAAACCAGGTCATTGTTTCAGTAGGTGTTTGTGCACAAATGAGAGAGTGCTGATAGTGCTATTGCCTTATTCTTGTGCCTATTAAATAGTATGTAGTGACTGAGAGAATGCTTTGCCTATGAAAGAGAAGGGCAAATATTCTCATTCATTCAAGCAACAGGGTTCCTAATAGCTATTTCTGTACTGCTGTGGGTCTTCTGTTATAATTAGGGTCCTATATACTGTGAAGTGGATTTTTTTTGGGATGTCCTTATTGGTAAACAAGTGTTATGATATACAAGCAATAGTAAAGTGTAATTTATACCCTGACCCATAGCCAGTGAACGTTTAGGAATGTGCTCATCTTCATTTTGACCTTATTTTACCAGGAATACATGTAATACCAAAATTAGGTAAGTGCAGGTGTTAACTTATATGAATGCAGACTATGAGATGGCTCTTGCAAATCCATGGACTAGAGTGAAACCCAAAAGATAAACCTTCACTTTAGTTGCAGATATAAGCATTCTTCATTATTCGGACTACTATGTACTCTGCTCATTGTTGTCTCTCTTTTGCTGCTAAATTTTTACTGTACTACCTGCAAATTGGGTACATTGTACGGATATTAATTATTTGGGCAATCTATGCTAGGGGTTGTTATCAGCATTGCAATGCCTGACTCACTGCAGTGGCACAGGTAGCTCACCTCAACCTGTCCTCCCTGTGCTATTTTTGTCATGTTATGGATGTTTTCAGGCCAGTTATATCATGATTTTTTAATTAATGAGGGTTTTATCCATATTTTTGGTGTATGCTAAACTCGTGTTACTACTCTGGGGCCAGGAGGAGTGACTTCATGCACTGGTGAGCTGAGGAAGAAATGTCCCACTGGGTTTTAGTAAAACAGCAGGAAGACTTGAGATATCCTTCAGTTGCTTTCTTGCCTCCCTCTTCACCCTATGACTTTGCCCAATAAACTAGAGAGTAAATGCAGTGCTGCTTCTCTTCTTCCCTCCCTAGTCATTTGCAATGATTTTTCAAGCCTGAAAATGCATGTCTGCTGAGAAGTAAATTACAGTATCTTCATAGGCCTTACTCAAAAGTAAACCACGTTGACTTCAATGAAGCTAATCATAGGAAAGTCAGCAAAGAAGAAGGGCTGTAGTTGTCTTCCAGGAATTACTTTTGGGTAGAAGCAGGCAGTGGTGCTGATCCTGTTGGCTTCACACGATCGGAGGTGGGACGGCAGCAGCAAATAGCCCCATAGCCTTCCCCCTTTCTCTCCCCACCCTGCTCCTTTTCTAAATTCGTTTTTTTTTTTTTTTTGTGAGGAGGAAAATATTTAAAAAATATCTACACCATCAATCCAGTGAACCTGCATGCAGAGGTAACTGAACTAAAAAACAAGCACAGAATCAAGTGAATCATATAACAGACTAGTTTCCTGCACACATCCTTCCAACTCCCCCTACTTTTCCTGTATTTTTGTGTGACCCAAGATCACAATCTCAATGCAGTGGAAACTACCCTTGTAGTCATTAGAATGTGCCTGGACCGTGATAAAGAGGTTTTTGCATAGATACTGAAATTCTGTTTCCTAATAAATAAATAGGATCTGGTGTGGATCTCCTCATTGCCTTAAATGCCTGTTCTTAAATGTATCTGCACAGGAGCATTTCATACCAAGTTCAATAGGACATGCTTTCTACTAAACATGCTTAGCATTTCAGCCAAAGGTTTTAATCCATTTGTCTTTCCTTGAGAGTTTTTCCCAGTGGTTCTCTGTTCTGTAACAAGATGGATAATTTTAAAAATCTTATAGCACATGTATACCGACATTTGGTATGGAGTGTAGATTTTCCAACTGAGTTATAAATCCTAAAAACAATGTGGTGTATAATGGGAAAGCTATAGGGGAGAATGGAGGGAGCGAAATAATACGTATGTAACCTTTCCCCTCTTTTTAGTGAACAGACCATTTAAACTAAATTAAGTAAAGGATGTAAATTCTGTTGTTTTACTTTTTTAATATTTCATATCTGATTTTATAGATAAAATTACACTGAACAATAAATATGAAGAAGAATTTATATAGCCTGTTCCAGTTTGATATGGAACAGCAAATCCCATTTCTCTTCAGCTGTAAAGAAAATTCATTATTATGTCTTTGGCAGTAAGAGATGGCTTCATTGTGATTAGTTACACTGATAATAAAACAACCTTTTTAAAAATGGCAGAAGATACATGGAATCTCATATGTCTGCTTTTAATGGCACTGAATTTGTTCACTTTCCACCTTTTTCCACATATCCTTTCCTTCATCTTTTCTTATTTCTGAGCCATTCCAAGACATGCAACATACTTTAAAATGGATAAGTTCATATTTACTACTTAACTATTTAAAATATATATTCGTACTTGTGGGGGGAAGCAAATTCTAAATGGCCTGAGATATTTTGCTGTCTTCTATTGGGAGCTAGCCTTGGGAACATGTGTACGATCTCTTCCCCTCTGGATGGTGAATTCCTCCTTGCCTAGCCTTCCTTAAGTCACACCTGAAGACGTGCCTGTCTGCACTGTTTCAGTTCTCCCACCCTTGGCAAAAACTGGGGAAAATGGGGAGGCGCAGGCACTTAGCGATTTTATATTAGTATGGCAGATGTGGAGTGATGCCACTATGCTCAAGGCATTTGTGCCTGGCATAGATTTGATGCTCCCAAGCCTTTAAGTTGGGATGTGTCTCAAGAATCGTTCAAAAGTCTTCCCTGCAGAGCTGCTTTTGTATGTTTTCTGATAAATTTGAGGCAAGGCTGGTGGTGGAAAACCCTGTAAACTTAGATTCTGATGGGTTAGAGTACATATTCATAAACAAGGACTAGAACCAAAGAAAATGATTGCCACAATTTTCGTGGGAAATAAAAGTAAAATAATTTTGAAGAGCAACTTGTAAAAGGAAAATGCTTGAATAGAAAAATCTATGTTACTTAACCAGCCACAACAGATTGTGTTTAAATTGAATCTAAATATGAAATATCTTTCAGAGCATATTGTGGGCTAAGGTTTTGCATTTTAAAGAAACATTTTCTCAAAATATTGCTCTTACAATACAGCGTCTTTTCAGTTTTAGTTTCTTTGTGTAAATTGGCCACCAGGTGTCATCAGAATTCTTTTCTTATGCCACTTCGTACTTTGAGCCCGTTTTTAACTTCAAAATTTTACTGCTGTACTAATAGTAAATCTAATGTGAAATATTACCCATATCTCTTGAGTATATTGTGGCAATAAGCTTCCACTGATACAAGAAAAATGCTTATGGCCTAATAGCCGGCTGACTTAGCTACCACTGTGCAGTAACAGTGGTTCATAGGCCAGGGGGCAACATTCTTGGTTGGGTATGGGGACAAATTATTGATCTTCAGGCATGCTTAAATCCGGTTCCAGTTATAGGATCTGTGCTGGAGCAATCATCTGCATTCCTATATGAACAGTGGTTTCCTATGTTTTTCCAGTGTGTGGTTGTGACATGCAGAGGAGACTTAGCTGCTCAGCAGGGCAAGGACCAACTTTGAGGGAGTCCTGAGGGACTTGCATATGATCCCCAACACAATGCAGGTGCCATGCAGTGGTCCTCCCCTAATGAATGAAGGTACAGGTGGCCACTGCACTTGCTTGCTTCAGCTGCTTACTTCATTTGTTTAGTTCATTACTTAAGCAGTGCTGGCTAGGTATGGTTGTAAGACTTTTTCCTGGGATTGCACCCTTATTTGTAAAACTGCTAACAAAGGAAAGAACAATCTGTTCCCCCTTCTCCCTGGTCACAGGGTACTGAACCTAGGCTGTCAAAAACAGAGGTTCAGCTTCTTAGATTTGAATTCCCTGAATGGGCATGTTACTTATGTCACAACCATGAAATTACTTGTGTTGGATTAGTTCCGTTTTAAGCATACATTGCTATTTGAGTGAGTAAATGTTGGAACCAAGCGAACATGTTCCTCAGTAATGAAACTGAAGACTCCTGCCTTGTTAAAATATTCTGTTTTTAAGAATACTTAAAGCTAGTTTCTCTCCTTGGTGAACAAGTTTTGCTAACATAAGCAGCCACTTGCACATGCTTGGCTGTTCACAATGGCTGTTCCCTTTCTTCCAAAGAATGAAATAACCCTATTTAGATTTTCAAAGATATTCCTCACTGAGATATGATTGCTTTGGGGCAGTTTATTTGAAAATGTTTACTGAAAACATTAGCTGAGAATGTCCCCATAGCCTTTTTAAACAATAGGTGACATTCTACAAGTTATGCATCACATTAGAATAAAGCAGTACCTATTTTTGTATACACAAAAAGCTAATAACCTCTTATTCTCTCTCTCTCTCTTTCTTTTAGATAGCCCTAGAGCAGATGAGCTGATTCATTTTATGGGAACTGTGCTTAGCACCATCTTCATTAAGGATGGATGTTGAAAAAAATCAGAAGAATTATGAAGGTGATGAGAGTGTAGAAAACAAATTAGTACAAGAAGCTGCTAAAAATGTTTTAGCTGAAAAAGCTCACAGTGAGAGTTTCTCTACCTCTGAAATAAGCACATTTTCAACTGAAGAACAGAAAAACCCAGGGAAAAAGGTGGAAGAGAATGGCGCATCCAAACGGCAATTATCCAGATCAGTTCACGAAGACCTTACTGAAACAAATGTGCTTGAAAATGAACCTGTCCCCAAAAAATTAAAGTTGATGGCCTCAAAACATGCTGGAGATACTGAAGCCAAACCAGTTACTCCTACAAAGTGTGAAGATGTTGAAGGAATAGGTAAAACAACAGGTGAAACTATGGAAGGGGTAGCTATAAATGCCTGTCCCAGTAGTGCAGCATTTATTTCAGATGCTTTATGTGTGCAGCATGATTGTACGCCTGAACGTGATAATACAGTAAAGGAATTACATGCGAAGAGTGAACATTCCCAAGGTGATCCAGTGCGTCTTCCAGAATGCACACCATCTTTTCTAGGTGATGAAACCAGTGTGACCAGTAGTAATGAACATGTTTCAAAGTGCAAACCCTGTGATGAGACCTTTTCTACTGATCCTGATTTGGAAAAGCATATTGAGGAAAGCCACCTTAAAGAATCCAAAGAGCATGTGAACCCACATTGTACAAATAAAATAGAACACAGCCCATCTTTGCACATGCATGTCAAGCAGACTTCTGGACATCTTAGATATTTCTGTGATCTTTGTGGCTTTCAGTCTTTTGAAGAAGATCACCTGCGTGCACATTTTCTTGGCAAAACACACCTCCGGCGGCAAAACCTTGCTGCCCGTGGAGGATTTGTAAAGATATTAACAAAAAAACCCTTTCATAAAAGACAGCAATTTTCAGTCAAAGAAAAGAATGTGAGAACAAAATCTGCACTTAACAAACCAAAAACAAAAAGTGCCATTTTGAATCAACTCAGGCTTTCAAGTAATACGTTGAAGAACTTGAAAGAAAACTGCCAGCTTTTTGTTGAAAGGATACCATCAAAAAATATCTCCACAGAGGTAGCTGAGAACATTACCAGTGAAGAAGCATCTCTCTGCAATGTGGGTGGAAACGGTGAAGCTCAGCCTAAAAAGCTAGATGTTTTAGGATCTTCCGAATGCAATCCAGAAGTATTGGAACCTGCTAAAAGTAGCCAAGAGACAGTAAGCACTGTATATACCACAGAGACATTTGATAAGTTTCACCTTAAAAGGAACCTCTTATCCCGAAGAATAGCTTTCAAACAGAGTGGTTCTTTCAGATTAAACCAGCAGATTAAAAGACGATATAATCTGTTGGGTATAGGTAAAAGGAGCAAGTCTGACTCCAGCTTAAAGCACAACATTAGGGCTGGGTTCAGTCAGGGTGATTTATCACAGGTCAAAGCTTTACAAACGGAAGGTGATGTTAACACTTTATGCAAAGCTGCTTCAGAAATGCAAGCACTTAATCCAGATGGAATGAATGAATGTTCTTCCGTCACCCCAGGGCCCGAGCATTCTCCAAAGAAAGCTGTTGATGTCCAGAAGACTCTGCATCCTTATACTCACTGTGGATGTACTTTGCCAAACACAGAAGGTCTACAGTTGGGCGTTGACACAGTCCGTGCTGAAGAGCATAAATTTGATTGTCAAATATGTGGCTATTCTTGTGTAACCAGAGAGGACCTTGAACTGCACTGCCAAAAGAACAGCCATCGTATAGGTGATGGCAGGATAAATTGTACCCAGTGTTCATTTGTTGCCCTAAATGACATAAGCCTGGGGAAACACGTAAGTGATAAGCACAGTATGTCCCACTACTGTGTTACTTGCCACCAGTATTTTCTAACAGAAGAAGAAATGGCAGCTCACAACACAACTGAACAACATATTAACTTATTACCTCAAGAACATACTGTTTGGCCACTGAACAGTGACTTGAGTTTGCAAACAGCATCTGTTCCTGAAGTAGAATCAAGTGTTCTTCCAAAGGTCATAGAACTTAAACTACAACAAGAAATCCCCAAGCCATCTGTGACACACCCTGGTAATGAGTTCAAGGAGTCGGTCCTGAGCAGAGCTGGATTTCAGTGTAAAAAGTGTTTTTATAAAACAAGATCATCTTCTGTTCTTACAAGACATATAAAACTTCGACATGCACAGGAATATCATTTCCTTTGTAAGGCATGTAACCTTTATTCATTGAGCAAAGAAGGAATGGAAAAGCACATCAAAAGAAGTAAACACCTTGAAAATGCTAGAAAACATAATATTGGTTTGCGCTTTGAGGAATGTATTGAAAGGGTATGTGTAGGTGCAAATGATGGTAAAAAAGTGGCAGAGCCTTCAGTTTATGGGAGTTTAAAGAATGTAGCTGGAAATGAAAGTATACACGTTCCCTTCTCCACATTGGAGAATGTATCAGTAAATAAGGAGATGTTTCCATTAAGTGAAGGCATTAAAGGCAGTGAGTCGGGATTGGGTAGTATACAGAAGAGAGGGAGACCTAAAGGTACTATTTCTCGAACATGCCCACATTGTGGTTTATTGGCATCCAGCGTTACAAATTTGACTGTTCACATTCGACGAAAGCATAGTCACCAGTACAGCTATTTATGTAAAATATGCAATTATTATACTGTTACTAAAGGTGACATGGAACGGCACTGTGCTACAAAGAAGCATAAAGGCCGTTTGGAAGTTAATGGTGGGGAAAAGTTAGAGATCATTGTTTGCCCAGAAGGAGGTAACATTGAAGCCAGCATCAAGAAGATAAATAGTCTGAGAGGTACTTTGAATGAACCTTTTGAGCATGGCAATCAGTCTCCACCTTTGGACAATAGTATTTCGGGAAGCCAGGGAGATGATCACAGTAGTACAGTGCAAGTCCAAGTTGGAAATGCAGTTCACCTTTCTGACAGAGACAGGAACTCTTCAGAAGTAAAAGAGTATATAAATGCAGAGCCAGGTAACATTAGTCAAGACAGAGATTCATTGATTCAAGCAAGATTTGCAAGTGCAAGCGATAACAAGTGTGCTCATTGCAACTTCGTTGCACATTCTTTTTCTTCTCTGGAAGTGCATATAAAACGTAAACACACTAAAGAATTCGAATACTATTGCATGGCCTGCGACTATTATGCAGTTACTCGCCGTGAGATGATGAGGCATGCTACAACGGAGAAGCATAAAATTAAAAGACAATCATATATAGGTGCATCTTCTGGAGAGGAGATGGATGAATCTAACATTGCCAAAGAAACTGCTGTTGTGTCTCAAGAAGAACAGCACCCCTCAGAAGAATTTCAGATTATACTGGGTGATACAGAGTATAAAAACATTGAAGGGAAAAGTCTAGAAGAGCAGGCCACTCAAAAAGCAAAGGACATACCTAATTATTTAGCTTCAGAAGATAGTACCACTTCAAAAATTTGTAAAGAAGGTTCAGTCTTTGATGCTGAGACTGAAGATGGAGCTGAAAATGGTAGAGAGAATGCAGGTAAACACACTGTTCACGAAGACGAAGGTGTTAAAATTAATGAGATGATCACATTTAAAGAAAAAGATGATTGTGTTCTGCAGGAAAATACAGGTGATAAAGAAACAGTCCAGGGGCATTTTCATTTTACAGCAGAAACTGGAAACAAGAACAGAGCTTTTGACAAAAATCCCCTTAATTCAAATGTGATAGACAATAAGAACACCTTTGAGGAAGACATTGGAAAAGGACATGAAAGTACTGAGGTATCTGCTGAGGAAGTGAAAACAGATAAAACCCATTTGCCTATACTTTCAGAAACATGTAGCATACTAAAGCAGCAAACAATGGATGAAAATACTGAAAGAACTATCCAAAATATGCATAATTTAGAGGAACAGGAACGCATCCAGCAAAAGTCTGCTGTAATGGAAGAGGATACCCTAATACATGCACAACAGGAAGCTGAAGCATCTTTAAATAATATTTGGGGTTCAGCTAGTTTAATAGTGGAAGGTGTGCAAGAAAGTAATGAAGGTTTGGAGGCTTTCACCAGTGCTGGCAGCAGGGTCAAAGAGGGTCAGTTTGATTCCTCTATAGTGAAGCTAAAAAGCCAGGAAGATTGTTTTGAGCCAGTCGTCATTGCTGAGGGACAGAGTCCAAGTGGCCCTAAGGTCAGTGACAGAGCCATGAAAACGGATGTCCCACAGGGTGGTGGGAAGAAGAAGAAAGCGGAAGGACATTCTGCTGGGGAATCTCCTCGTATACGCTGTGATGACTGTGGTTTTTTAGCAGATGGTTTGAGTGGATTAAATGTTCACATAGCCATGAAGCATCCTTCAAAAGAGAAGCATTTTCACTGCTTGCTGTGTGGGAAGTCATTTTACACTGAAAGCAATCTCCACCAGCACCTGGCTAGTGCTGGCCACATGAGAAATGAACAAGCAAGTGTTGAAGAACTGCCGGAAGGGGGTGCCACTTTTAAATGTGTTAAGTGCACAGAGCCTTTTGATTCTGAACAAAATTTATTTCTCCACATCAAAGAACAACACGAAGAACTGCTCCGGGAAGTCAATAAGTACATCGTTGAAGATACTGAACAAATTAACCGAGAGAGAGAAGAAAACAAAGGCAATATTTGCAAATATTGTGGGAAGATGTGCAGAAGCAGTAATTCCATGGCCTTTCTAGCTCATATTCGTACTCATACAGGTATGTATCAACAAGTGGTCCAGCCAGTGCTTTACAAATGGAAACTGCTTTAAAGTCTTGCTACACACCTTCTGTTTCTCCCCCTTCCTATTTAAAAAAAAAATCTTAAGGGCACAATCCTATGCGTGTTTAGACAGAAAAAGTCTTGTAACTCCCAGCATTCCACATGCTGAATGGGAAATGCTGAAACGGGTAAGAGATTTTTTTTTTCTGTCTAAATATGTACAGGATTGCACCCCAATCCTCATAAATTTTAGTTCACTCCTATATCAGTCCATGTGTACTTGAAATTTCACAACAAAAAGAAGAAAACTGAAGGCTTTTTAAAATTACTGTCTAGTTTTCTTGTCTTTGTTAGCATACTTCTTAATGTTAATTGGATTACAGAGCATTATCTGAATTATTTTCAGATTTGGAGACCATTTGCCTTGCAAGGACTGTCCCGCCTGCCTAATCTAGAGGAGAAATGGAGGAAAAAGGGAGAGGGGCTGAGAAAGAGAAAGTGGGAGGACAGCTGTGATCTGTCCTCATGAAGGGTTTTGCAGCCACAAGAGCTAGAGTAAGATGAGTAAGGACCAGGTATTGCCCAGAGAAAACATAGCAAAATACAGCTTCCCGCTTCCTTGGTCCTTTTCACCTCCTTTCTTCCTCCCTGCTTCCCCCTTCAACTAACAGATCCCTTTTTAAAGGATGATTTACCTCCTTCGCTGAACTGTTGTTTCATCCAGGTCATTTTGCATTTTCACTCAGGTTTACCTGTAACAGGGAATGTGCAAGTGCCTGTGCTCCCTATAATTGGGATCTCTTAAACCTCTGCTTCTGGGGTTCCAAAAAGCGAACCTAGGAATTGTGCATCAGGGACTTAGCCTTAACTCTTCTTCTTCCCGTGCTCTGAGGCTTTGTATATACTAAAAGGGGTTTGGGGATTCAGTCCTGTTGTAGATATGCAAGCAGATCAGTCCAAGCCTACTCTTTGGTGTCCATACAGATCAGTACTACAGCTGGATTAACAAAAATGTGCTCCTACAGGCAGTTTTTCACTCTTTGTTCATAGCTATGTTTGGGAAAGAACCTGGCAGAAGAGAATGTGGCCTTGGGAGGCATTTGCAGGAGAAAGTTGGAAGGATGAGGAAGAGTTCACAATGTATTGGTCCCACTTGCTGATCCTCCTCTACAAATCTTTCTCTTTTCTGCATTTATGCTACTTTGGGAAAAGTGAAACTGAGAACTTGCATTTAGCATGGTAACTAGGACCTTAGCAACACAGAGGGGTCTTGTTCAATGTGCCAGTCATGCCCTCTTTGAGCACATTCCAGTCTCTTCCTACTATTTTCTTTTTCTCCTACACTCAGCAATCTTTCTCTACTGTCTATGTTCAGATACTGAGCATTTGGCAGGCGGGCATAATACCAGTCTGGTGGCAACCTTAGCTTAATGCCACTTTAGGTTATTGAGTGGATTAAAATGTAATAAAGAAATGAATGAACAAACAGTTTGCCTCTTTGGAATGGAAATCCAGCACTTACATTGAATAGCTGAATAGTGCATATATGTTTTGGGGTTAGTTAATGAAGAATGCCAGTTATAGAATGATGCTTGCATGAATGCAACGGCATTTGCAATTGGGCATCATTTAATACGCAGTGGTAGTGATGAGGTGGTACCTGTTGAAATTGGGCCTGGTGATTTAGACCCTGTGCTGTGCCACATTTTCCATTCTCTTGTTATGTTTTATATTAAGTAGAAAAATTTAAAACAACACTTTTGTCAAAAATGCATAAGCTGCAGTTCTAAATTTATGTAAAAATTCACTGCTATGTTTCTATAAACCTGCCATACATTCTTTATTTTAAATAGACAGCTTTTCTAAATCACTGAGCTCTGCTTAGACAAGTGGTGTCTCTCTGGTTGAATTTATGACTGGATTTGAATAATAAATTCACATTTCAATGAACATATTTTCATTAAAACTGTAAGGTTTATTTTACTGTACTTTTAAATAATGGCTTATTATAGAAGCTATAGTTTAAATTCATGCAGTAGTTGAAACTTAGTGCACAGTTGCTAGAAAGAAAATGAAAAGCCATGAGATGCAAAGTATTATAAAATATTAATGTTCTTGATGTAATCTTGAAATAGTTTTTGTTTCCTTAGAAGAAGGGCATTGGGCAAGATTCACTGGGCAAGATTCATTTGGGAAGAAGTGGCATTGCCTTGGAGCATAGTCAGGTGACATCTGGTAACTAAAGTATTAATTCTGTGAAGCAGTGCTATCTTAACTTTAGGAATTCCAAACTTAGTCATCTTGCCAATACCATATTTGTGCATAATGCTTATGAAATGTTTTGATTTTGGATCTGTGAATGGCTTTTTAGAAGACACAGATATGTTCCCATGGTCAGAATAGCTGTATAAGCCCTTAATATGCCTTCTTAAAGCAGCTAAAATGGAATAAAACTACAGGAAAGATGCTAATGGAGCTCTCTTTAGAATTCTTTATGCAACTGTCTGGTCAAGACATGTTGCTTATAATTGATGTGTCCATTACTTGAATTCTCTTGTAATTATAGTCAATAAGTCTTGTAAATGTGTTAAAGCTCACTAAAAGCATACAAATTCAAGAACAGAGTAAGGCTAATAATTTAAAATAATCAATGTAGGCATTTCAGCACTTAATTTCCCTTGTGTGTTGATAGCTGATCATTCTTAATCCATTAAGATTTATTTAGTCGTTTACAATGCAAAATAGGTTTGCACTGGTCACTTGTGCCATTTGAAAATGTCCACCAGGTTAAGTGCAGAATGTAGTCCATTAGTCTTCCTTGACTATATGTATTAATTGCATTTAAAATCAAGTTAATGTGGATGTGAAAGTGAGGTAACTATCAATATATGACAAAGCAACCCTACTTACATAAGTTACATCATTGATTGTAACATTTAGTAAAAGTTAGCACACTTTTTAACATGTTGTGTATGTCTTATCACCAAGTGTATTTTTATTGTGCTTTGCATTAGATGTGAATGTACTGTAAAAGGACACCGGGAGGGGGGGGGTGGCAACCCACATATCTACCATTCCATTTTGCAAGTCATTTTTGGGGGGAAGAGTTGCTGAAGAGGTTTTAATCTATCCTCTTTCTCCCTGCACCTTAAAATGAATTGCTTTTCTGATAACTTTGCTTATGCACATAAAATAGTAATGCTGGTATTTTTATTAATAGTTAACTGGAAGAGGTTTTTACTCTTCCAACTCCTGGGGTTTTTTCCCTTCCTATTTTTTGATTTACTGAATATTTTATGTAATGTTTCTTCCCATCTTCTGCACAATAAAAGGAGTTTTGTATAGAAAGAAATGAGTTTTGGTTGCCAATACTGAGAGGCCAAGAAGAACACTACAGTGTAGGCTCCTGTGTGGAACAAACAAGCAGGGGCCAATGCCAACTTATCTGCATGGGTATAATACCAAATTTCCACCTACTTTTTTGAATTCTTTTAACAGTTTTACAGTGCAAGTCTATGCATGCCTACTCAGAAGTAAGTCTTATTGGGTTCAATGGCACTTACTGTCAGCTAAGCGGCTGTAGGGTTACAGTCTTATTCCTTTACAGGTCTTTATAGGTTAAAATGCTTTTTTCTCACAAATTGTAGAAAATAAAGGATTTTCTTGCACTCATTCCAAAGCTGCTCACGTAGCAAAGGGGAGGTTATACAAGATAGCGGATCTACAACCAAGTCCATCAAACATTGACAAGTGAAAATGAGGAAGTGTAAAGATAGGCAAAAGAAATATTAGAGGTGGAAGACTTTTCAACTTTCAATTCAAACAGGTCCTCATGCATAATTAGCAACTGCAATTCTGAAAATATAGTCGCTTCTCTGTCCCTTTCTTGTTTATGATTTTCTCAGAAGCCACAAGTGGGTTCTGGGTAGAGATACTAATGTGATGAAGACATTGCTCAAATGCTTATCTGCTTAAACCACAGTAGGTTAGATCCCATTTTTTTCCAGGGTAATTATGCAAGATTATTTGAGACTTGAAATCTGTGTGATTAAAAACTTTTCTGAATAATCATCAAACCTCTACACATTTCAGTATCTTGTGCACAGTTTTGTAAAATCTTAGTTTTTTCCTCCACTCCCAGCATGTGATTACATTTCAGTGTGGTGTGGGGGCACTGAAAACTCCCTGCAGGGAAACATCAATTTAATAATCTGGGTTGCCAAATTATAAGTGGCATTCTGTGTTAATGCATCTCAAGGTCCAGTGTCCTTTCCTTGGGGGTCTTCAGTTCTGCAATGGTGCCTTCTCTGTCAGCACCTCTGGTTCCTTCAGCCTCTTAAGTGCATGCCCAGGTCACTGCTGTCCTTTGGGGTCATGACATTGCTAAACACTTAAAAGCAGTAAGGAACAATTTAGAAGGGGGAGAATACAATGCCTGTAGGATTCCTGCACCACACCTTTCCTAGATCAGCTATTTGGTTGGACCACACACTTTTCCCTTCTCTTTATATGGGACCATGTCTTGCATTAAGTTTAGTGGTATAGGACCCACTTTGAGATTGTGAGATTGTGCCTGACTTGGGTAGATCAGTTGCCCTCCAGCCCCCATCTGTCCCAGCCAGCATGGCTAATGGCAGAAATGCTGGAAGTTGTAATCCAAAATAACTGGGGTAGGGGCACCAGACTGGGGAAGTCTGTTATACAGGAACCATGGGGGCAGGGCCATTCTCCTGGATCTCTCCCACCAGGCCTTGCCTGAACTGGACACCAGCCACATGGAAGGGACTCATAGTGTTGTTTCACATGGTGTACAGCTAGTTCTCCAGGTATCCTAAGATTTTGGTTTGGGGAAGTGGTGAGGTGAAATAGAAGCCTCAGTGGCTTCTGCTTTATTAGCTTGGCTTACCTAATTCCATCTTGCTGTTTCCTGTTGGCTTGTGCAAGATTGGTCATTTGTACATTGGCAGGAAGAGGAACTACATCACCAAAAAGGAAG